CGGCAGCTGTAGGCTTCTGTTATTCTTCCCCACAGAAGTCTTTCAACGAGAAAACCCCCACCATAGCATGACATAGGAAGGAGCGAAATGATGAACAGAGTGAAGCATTGCTTTCTGTTTCGTACGCCCCAGCGGCTTGGTTGACTGTGTGTGCGCCGACTTCTCACTGTTGAGACAGTACTTTACGCATATGATTCACCAGAACATAATAACGGGTCTCGGTGACCTCGCAACTGTATCAGGCGAGCTCCATTCACCGAACCCTACGCTACACAGCTACAGAGGGTGCGGCGTAGATCGACTGGCGTATTCTGCTTGGTTTCGGTTTCGGTTTAGCGGTGCTCGACAGAGGGGGAGGTAGAGATGCGTTTCGTCCGTTGACAATAGCCTAGTAGCCGGTAACTGGCCTTCTTGGATAGATAAGTCATGTGTCATGTTTGTCAGTGACTGCCGTGCTGCTCAAGACAATTTTTCAAAATCGCCATGGTTCAGACCTTGCTCTCACATGATCAGCATCCTTGAGTTCAACTATCGTCGTGCTGAAGCCGCATGGAGCGGGACCGGTAAGCACCCATGAGACGAGTTTTCCATTAATTCCACATCACCAATTTCATCTTCCGTCTCCTGAACTCACTTTTGTCACCTGCTTATATCGGGGGAGTGCTTCACCAGTTGTGTCTATTGTTATTTCGTAAGTGAAGAAATCCAACGCACTGTCCTAGGAGCTCAGTTGTGTCTCTCAAGAATGAATTAGGTTGTTGTGAAAATGAAGTTATCAGCGTTCGCCTACTGTTTTTACCCTCGTCAACCACATTTAAATTATGAGATTGAGTTAACACGACTGAGATGCTCTTGGCCGGTGTGACTGGCTTGATTTAATCCCTCAAGTACGCTCGTACTTGCGCGCTCGAAATAATGGGATAAGCGTTCTGGGTAGACTCTGATTCAGGCCCGAAACTGGGGCCTGGGATAGGAAGAAGAAGGGACTAGTGCTGACCCATCAAGGGTTAATAAACAACCTGCTCTGGGCACAGATGACCGAACACGCTTCAACTCGGGCACGGTGGACTGATGTCAGCTTTCATATCGCAGCCCATTTGAGAGGGCTTGGTTACATCTTCAAGGTAGACAAGACGAAGATCCTTGCGAGCCCATCAACGAGCACCGTGATCTTACCTAAATTTGTTGGTGTCGATAATAGAAGGTTCCCCAGATCACAAGTCAAGGAAGACGGAAGAAACTGGAACAGCTTTACTGCAGGAAAATGAATTGTACAAAGGCTGCGTCATGTGTAAGTTGCCAGCTACGTCTGCAGGCCAGGTGTGTCCGTTAAGTTGTGTCGGTTGTGACGCCTTGATTGTGGTATGAATACTCTCGTGTCTGCAGCCAATCAAATGAAGTAGGAGTATCGATTAGCTTCGAACGTACTCGCGGCGAGTCGACAGCGAACGTGAGAGAGGACAAGAACGCGTGGTTTAAGCGGGAGGGACAGTTGGATAGGGCTGAGTGCTTGCT